CTGTGATCATAGGATCCCCTCAAACGATAAAAATGTGTCAGCATGACGAGAGAATTTAAGACTCAATGTGCATCAAGTCACACCTTAGTGGTCTTCAATTGTTTCTAGTCATCCTTCAATTTCAGAAATAGTGGCTTAGTCGACAAAGAAATCTGGTTTCATTGTCAATGACCATCAGATTCAGAAAGCGAGATGTGTTCATTTGAACGTGGCAAACAAAGGGTCCTTCAAAGAGATATCTCACTGCAAAGTACACATTTATTATTGCGTATAAGCTTCTTCAATGTAAAAGTACATTTTAATCTTGAATTTTACAGTTAGAAGTTAAAAAAATATTGGCTTAATAGCTACTTATATTCGGACTATGGCAATTTGGCAGACCTTAAACTGAAGAAAAGGCACAACAAATTTTTTTCCTTTTAAGTATTTTACTTAAAAATTTTATGCTATATCAATCTATTACAATTTTGGTATCAAACAAACAAATGCTGCTGAAAAAGGGAGGGAAAAAAAACCAAGGAACTAAGAAATGCATACAATTTTTTAATCAATCAAGGCCATTGAACTTTGGATCATTTTTGAAGAAAAATGGGAACATTATTAAGAAACATAAACCAAGTATGAAAACAAATGAAGAAGTCTCTTTACTTTTCTAGAAAGGCTAGTAATAACGCCACAGCATCTATTTTAGTTCTACAATTAATTATATGTAAAATGACAAATTAATCTATTTCAATACGAACCTAATCTTCCACAAGTGATGCCCTAGTTGTCGTTTAAAAAAAAAAAAATTCTATGATGAGTTAAAATTTATCTTTTTTTTTCCTTGACGTCAATAATTTACTCCACTCCAATGAACTAAAATTTATATTGTGATAATATTTTTTTTCCCTAATAGGAGAAGCGTGAAATTTAAAAAACGTAAAAAGGATTTTAACTTTAACCACTATACGAAAGGCCTTTAACGTTGTAGCAATAGTTTGTGCCCTGTGAACTTAGGATTAGTTCCTTCAAAAAAAAAAAAAATCCTTAGATTAGCTTTAGAACATCATTAAACCTTGGAAATGTTTGGATAGGATAACGGCGGTGGATATTATACTTTGCGTGGCATATAAGTGACGGCCACGTAGGAAATGACGTGTCAGACGTAAATAACAGGCTCCACTAATATCTCTCGATCCCAGCGGGGCCCGCAACAAATCCGATGGCTTCGCTTCATTCTCACGCTAACTCCGCAACTTGCTCACCGTCCGTCCCTGAAAGTAAAAGCTTCCCTTTGCACCCAAACGAGGAAATTAAATAATAATAAGAAAAGGACAAAAAGGTTGCTTTGTAACCACGGTCCATTTACTATTTATCTAGCCTGGAAAAGGTTTAAACAAGGAAGAAAAAAAATAAAAACACTTTTGAATATTATTTCGTTTGCATTATAAATATAAATTTTAATTATATTTTTCTAGTAACATTTTTATCTTACAGACATCACATCACAAAAATTATCTCAACTAGTGCTCATCGCATATCCAATGTGTGTGCAATCAAAAAATATATATATAATATTGATGGTCGTATATTTTAAATAAAACTTTTATTACTAAAGCAAACTTTAATCTTTGAAATAGTTCTCATAAAATAATTTTATATTGGTAGTTGTAGTGTTTAGGGATAGTTATGTTGAAAACATATACTTAAATAGTTAAAAGTAAAAATAGTCATAAGTACGTATAGGTAGTTAAAGTAAAAGTAGTTTTTATGGGGATAAAAAAGAAAGACGATAAATGTTAACCCCAAACCCCTTCCTCATCCTTTATATATAGTATAGATATTATTTTAAATAATTTTGAAATATTTACTTTATTTTAGGTCAGTAAATTGGTTAGCTGTCAGATGAAAATGACACGACAAGAGGAACATTTACTATTATAAGAAATCACTTTCAAATATAACTTTTACTATATCATATTCAATTCAACTTGTTGATGAGGTTGTCTTGGAATTTATTTCACTAGGTCCAACCTTGCAAGTGTGTGCTAGTGAGTCACGCAGCACAAAAAAAAAAAAAAAAAATACTGAAATAGTAGTATGTTTTGAAGAATAGGTCAATTTGATCCAAGTTAAACTAGAATTAATTGATGTTCAACTCACAAAATCTTAATAGTTTCTGTTACTATCATCTCTAACACTAACACAGATTACTCACTTCAAGAAATCGCCTTATATATGACAAGATTTCTTATGCAAGTGCATCTAGACTGAAACTTGTATATGTTCAGACTTAGCATGGGATGGGATAGTCACTCCTACAAATTTAAAATTATCATAAGTACTTTTGAATGAAAACATATATGTTGTCGCTAAATTTTCAAAAGAATTGTACTAAAGTTTATTTATCCATCCAAAATTTTACGTGTCTACGACTTTTTTCTTTTCTTTTTTTTTTTTGGTGTAACAAGTGCCCATTAAAGTACTCATTAAAGAATTTTCAAGTATTATTTGTAAACAAAAAATAATAAAAAATTTATTCTAAAAGTGGATAGCAAATATGACTATATCCATATATATATATATAGACACACACATACTAATCAATACTCTAAATAACTATAAAAGAAAATTTTTCTAACGAGCGTACGGTCAGATATCTTTTCAGTTTAATTTTATTTCACTGAAAAGTTAACGGACGAAACTGAACAGGCACTCGCTAAATAAATCCATAAAAATCTAAAGAATGCAAAATTTTACAAGGGATACCGTAAATGTAAAAACTGGATCAAACTACTAGCTTGCAATGGCATTTGATTTTGAGGGTCCTTTTCTCCGTCCGCTTTCTGGTTGGCTCGCTGGCGCCGCAATTGACGATGGATTGTCGCACTCAAATTAACTTCTTTGCCTTCCCTAGTTTCGTATGGGAAAATGATGATTATGATTTATTCTTCTCTTTCTCCTTTTCTCTTTTTTGCAATTCTGACTCTTCACTGTTAACTTCCCTTCACCGCATGAACTTTGACTTATTTGCCAGCAGTTTCTACCACTACCGCTTCCCCTCCTAATCCATGGTTTTTCTCTTTACATAGACAACAATTATATATAATCCTGCGTTGCGTAGACATGGATCCCACAAGTATTTTGTCTCTTTGGCACATGTCCATCCATCTTCATCCTTTCAAGAAAATGGTGGTTTTGCTTTTTGCTAATGACAAAATTAGATGGGGTTTGGTAATGGATAAGAAATGATTAATGCAATTTGGGAAATCATATCCTATATCTCACTTTACCTTGGGGCAATATGTAGCACTATCATGACCATGAAGACTTCTGATGATGTGGGCTATTTCTGTTTTCTAACCAGGCTGCTTGATTGGTGAATGTCATATTTCTTACTCAATTATTGAAAGGCGCCAAATTTCAAGTCTAATCATACTTCTTCTTCTTCTTCTTCTTCTTAACTACTTTTCTTAAATTCAGTTGATTGTTGGGGGGATGAGTTATTCATGCAGTAATGAATATCCATGGAACCACCGAGCTCGGTGGTCACCACCTTGCCTCTCCCCATTTGGCACTAAATGTAGCAGGCCACTTTAAGTGATTATTGGACGGATGCGTAGTGCATTCTTTTGGGTCGTTAGGTGATTTAATCCTCTTCGATTTTTCTCTGGACCTCTTCAGGTCCCTCCTATCCCATAGTATAGAATATAATAGAATAAATATAGGGTCTATCGTTGCAGGAAAAAAAAAGAAGAATATCCATGGACATTCATGTCATGTCATCATTCATGTATGGTGCTGTATTCAAAATCAAAACAAAATTGAGAATCCAAAATGAATTATTTCTTGAAAGGTACCCCCTAAAGGATTGTCAAAACCCAAATTTGAATTTGATGATAACTAATTATTCATGATTAAATAAACTTTGGAGGAACTTCATTTGCTACATATGAACAAATGGATGTTACAAATGAGGTTCACCAACTCAAATTTAGCTTTGCCCTTGAGAACTTTGTTTTGTTAAAAAAAGATTCTAAAGTTGTAGGAGTATCATTTTACCTCGTGTAAACAGAATTTGGTAATAGTGGAATGCGAATCTTGGACTTGTCTGTGGCCTCTACAAAAGTTGGTGCATTGCGATTATGCCAAAATCCATTTCCCATCTAAAAAGAACTAATGAAATTGAAACTGGTCCATGACTCCATGTTTTTTTTTTTTCCTATTCTTCTTCATAGCTAGGGCCAAGTTAGACTTATACTATCAAAATCTGGTCCATACGATGATAGCTAAAGCTGTGGTTCATATTGAAAATCTCCTTTCATGTAATCCAATGGCCAAGTTTGCTTGAGGTTGGTGATCAGCCGATCTTTTTTTAAATCTTCTCACGCCTCTATCTCGCTTTCAACTGTCAAGTTCAAAATTCAAATATTAAACTTGGTTTTAAACCTTGAATCTGACAGTGGAGAGAGTCCTCCCTTAGCCACTGACCACCTGATCATCATGCTGCTAAATTACGAGGTCAAAATTCCTCAACATTTTTCATCACATTTACGTGTTATAATCTTTTTTTCCTTTTTTTTATGAGAGTTTAGGTGTCATAATCTAGGCGTGTCAAAAAAAAATAGCAAGGACGAAAACTTGTATACATCCTCAAAAGGCCAAAAAAAAAATGGTCCTTATATACCATACTACCATTTTGGTTCCCAAAGTTGAAGGTGACTGCCTACTAGCAGTCAACTACATTCACCATCTAATAAAAAATCTCCAAGTGGATCTTTACTGGCACCTGCCAGTCTACATTTCAGTGATCTCCTCACGTGTCACTAACCCATTGGATCTTTCTCTTTCATAGAAGGTATCTCTAGAAGTTTGACAAGAATGTAGAATAATTGAGCAAAAAAAGCAGCTCCCAAAGTGGACTTAATACTAAAGAAATGAACAATTCAAGATTAAAATAATTAATCTTGTGTGTACCAGCCGCAGTCTTGGCCTTTATATAGAAGCATGGGAGTCACAACCATATGCAAGAGTGGATATCTTAAGTGAGGCCACAGAAAAATTTGTGAGTTTTTTTTGTGCATTTGCTAAATTTCTTTCTTTTTCCTTTCCCCCTTCTCTATAACATCCCGCTTCTGAGATCCCTTTCTGTCATCGTCTGTCTTTCAAGAAATTTGTTGTACTGCAAAATTTTAAGGGTTGGTTTGTTTTTTTCTTGATTTTGAACTCAAACTTCAGCTGCAGAAAATCTCAAAGCAAACCCCCTACAAGGGTGTTTTTGAAAGCCAGGTGATTCAGAATAGAGATCCAGTTTTCTCTTGTAACTTTGGTATAGTTTCTTGTAGCTCTTCTTTTGCTTCTAGTTTGATTAAAACAACTAAGAGGGTCTTTTTTTTTTTTTTGCTATCCCTCAGGTGAGTTTTGGTTTCTTGATCTTTCATTTTCTTGAAGGTACATAAATTACTAGTACTATCAAGGATACCAAAAGGTTCTTTATTTCGAAACCTGTTTGATCCTTTTCTTTTCTTTCTTCCTCTCCTACCATCTGTTTCTTTAGTTTCTTGGTTCACAAGAACTTGGTTGTTAGTTTTTTCACGACTTTTTTTTCGCTCAGATCTCTTTTTTTTTTTAAGTCTGAATTATTGATCTAAGTTATGGCAACAGCTATAGATATCTACAGTTATAGTAATCCTGTTTTCTCATTATCATCAGATCCCTTGAGGGAAGAGCTGATGAAAGCACTTGAACCTTTTATGAAAGGTGCTTCTTCTTTGCCCTCCTCTCCTACTACTACATCTTCTCCCTTTTCCTCCTCTTCGTCTTCTCTTTCTCCTCCTTCTACTTCTTCTTCTTCTTCTTGCTCTTCTTACTACCCTTTTGACTCTTCTTCTTTCTCTTCTGAGCCCAACATGTACTCTTCTTTTACCTCATATGTTCCATCCACAGCCCACATGTTTTCTCAAGGGTTGTCTAGCTTTGATGAGATGGGATTTGATGAGCAATCAGGTGGTGGTTCAATTGGGTTAAACCATCTGACCCCATATCAGATCCTTGAAGTCGAGGCTCAAATCAAACTTCAAAATCAACAACAGCAATACTTAGCTGCTCAGTCCCTCCAAAACTATAGCTCAACCAGGCAATTGCAGCACCAGAATCATTCCCACTTGAGCTTTCTTGGCCCAAAACCTGTCCACATGAAGCAAGTTGGAACTCCTCCAAAACCCGCCAAGCTTTACAGGGGAGTTAGACAGCGACATTGGGGCAAATGGGTAGCTGAAATCAGACTCCCCAAGAACAGAACTAGGCTTTGGCTTGGAACCTTTGACACAGCTGAAGAAGCCGCCTTGGCCTATGATAAGGCTGCTTATAAGCTGAGAGGAGAGTTTGCTAGGCTTAATTTTCCAAACCTTCGGCATCAATTAAGCCAAGATTTTGGTGACTTCAAACCTTTGCATTCCTCTGTTGATGCTAAACTTGAAGCCATTTGTCAAAGCTTGGCCGATTCTCAGAAACAGGGGAATACAGGGGAGCAGCAGCAGAAGAAGGTCGGGGTACAGACAATTCCAAAAGTGGAAAACACCTTTGATGATTCATTGAACAGTGAATATTTCTATCCAGGAAATGAGGGTGTTAAGGTGGAGGAGACCTCATCATCATTATCACCTTCAAGATCTGATGAAACATCATCACTGGAAATGTCTTCACCTGAATCTGATATAACTTTCTTGGATTTTGCTGAGCCCACTTTTGACCAGTCAGAGAATTTCTTGTTGCAGAAGTACCCCTCAGTGGAGATTGATTGGGCAGCTTTATAATTTACTATATCTACTACATGTATTAGTTTTTTTGTTTCCTTTCCTTTTTCTAGTCAAGATTTTAATATTGTAATAATCTAGAGTATCGTAGAGTCTGAACTATGGCTTTCCGCAATGGTTTTTTTGACATCTGCAGAAGCCAGTGATTAGTGGTGGTGCTGAAGTGTCTAGTCTGTCCATATGTGGTCTGCTGGCATTTTTATCTGTGCATGACCAAGTGGAGATATTTCTATCTGCATGTGTTTGGTTTTGTAGTTAATGTAACCAAGCATATCCATGCATGTATAATGTACTATCAGCCTTGTTTAATGTAAATTATGGTGTGTGCTATATTTCTTTTGATTACATCTTTTTAAGTAGCTTGTACATCTCAAAAATGGCAAGTAACACCTACAATTTTATACTTTGGAGAAGCATAATTTTTTTCTTTTGAAGGAGGAGAAGCATAATTTGGTGAAGATTTATCAAGAACTTGGTGGGATTTTATTAAGCTTAAAATTGGTGATAGCCACTTTTCTTCCACCTGTTTTTACACGACTAGAAAGTTTGTGCTAGGTCACCATAAATGTGCGGATTGCTTACATTTCAGGTGGTCCTCTTAACTGGAGAAGCAAAACTATATAAGGGTTAATTTGTCTAGTGCAGAAAGATAATCAACAAAAATAAGCAACCATCTTTTTCTGTAAAATTGAAGAGTGCGACATATTCATTACTACCTTTTATTCATTTTGTGCCTTAAAATTTTCACTACTATTATTTAATCTATGTACTTCCCATCTATAATTCGGTTTTCATCTGCCCTTTTCTTAATTTCTTTCTTTTTAATAGGAGGAGGAAAAGATAAAAATACCCTTTTGTTAGATTCAATTAGCAGAATAGGTGAATAGTTTCTCGCAAAATATACTTTTAAACTTTGAAGGTGAAAATTGAGCCAAAACTTAGTTAAAGATTTTTTTTTTAAAAAAAGGAGGTAACTAAAGGGCCCTAATGAAATTTTCAATATTCGGATCCTTTTGTTTAATTTTGCACTTGAGATTTCTAGTATTCGATAGCCTTCATGGGGGAGCTGATTTTAGTCTTCAATGGCTTTTTTCAAGTATTTGGGATTATAATTTCTTTGTTAATACCGAAAGGACTAGACAATGAAGTGTCTTTGCATCATTAATCTATTTTCCTCGAAGAATATAAACTTCAAATTTAATTATCCGGCGAGCTTTGCATTATAATTTACTTTTAGCTCCTAAATTTGCCACCATCTGAGTAAATATATGATGCTTTGAAAAGTTCTACTTGGACAATAAATCTTTCTTCAAGAACTGCACTTTCAATCATATTCAACAAGCTTTACCAATTGTGGAGTGGTCTGATTGACAGAACTGCACTTTCTTCCTCGTGTTGGAAAGTATCCGATGCTTTTAATTTTTGGGGTGATTACCCACTCACGGTAGAGAAAAGTGTGATTAATCAAGTGAAGCATCTTTGTGATTAGTCATAACATGGAATCTTTATTTTAATTTATGAAATTATTCATCTTTTTGGAGAATGTTTAAGCTGCATTAACACGTTAGGGATTGTTGTGCATTTATCATTTGCTTTCAAGAATATACCCAAAAGTCCTTGAAAGAACTTATGTAAGGGTGCGGTTGAGACTTAAAAAATTCACAAAGAGGCAAAACATATGCTTAATTTCTTGTAAGGGTGAATAGAAACATGTTTGCGGTGAGTGTAACTAACTTTAATAAGATTGGAATAACTTTTGTAATATATATAGAGGATATAAAAAATAACTTTCTTATTTTAAAAAAGGCTTACGCTTCCCCGCTTGTTAAGTCTCCCGGCCTGCTCCTCACTAGGGATGGCAATAGGGTAAGGATGGGGCGAGGGATCCCTCCCCTCCCCGCCTAGTACCCTAAAATTTTCCCTCCCTTCCTCCCTGTCTCATCCTTGTCCCTAGTTTTTACTACTTCGCCCCCTACTTCACCCTAACCCATACCCTAATAGGTGACCTTGCAGTTGTGTAATTATATTTTTTATTTTTCCTTTGACATTATTTTATATATATCTATACAATATCAATAACAACATTTTAAGTCACTTTTTAGATTTTTAGCTAAATATTCAATGTGAAATCAAGATTAAAAATAACTTTGATATTTTTTAATTCATTTCTCTATTTTTAATAGCAAACCCAAACTTATGATCATCAAATTCGTTTAAACAACTTACAATATGTGAAAACAATTGAAGTAAACTAAAAATAACCAAATAATCATTTTTATCATACAAATTACACATACACACACAAACATTATTGATATATAGTTACAATGCATATATATATAAAGCTATATAAAAATATTGATTTTTTTAAAACTTTATATTAGTAACAAGGGACAGGGAGGGGATATCCTCCCCCGTCCCCCTCCGTCTATAACTGGGGGAGAAAAATTCCCCCCGCCATCGCACTCGTCCCGCCTCACCCCCTACCCCATGACTCCCCTTGCACGGCAAGTGCCTGTGAGTTGCCATCCTTACTCCCGCCTTTTTAGTCCCACTTCTTTTTTGCTGAATAAAAAAAGTTCTTTTTTTTTAAAAAAAATTTAGTTCTCTTTTTTATTTGTGGACGCCCTCTTTGCAAATTACAGCCACTTTCTTTTCAATTTGTTTTTGAATTCTTTAAATACATCATCCAACTGTATTTATTTTTCAACCATCTCTTTAATGCTGACATACAAAATTTTATGTTTTTGGAGACTATTGTCAAAATTAACCCTAGGCGCAAATGATAATCCCGCGACCTAAAACGATTACTACATTTTGGAAGGGACCATGACAAATTGTGCATTAGATAAGAGGATAGAAAAGAGGAAGCATCGAGGAATGCCAAACTGATGAGGTTCTTCTACAACAATTTTCTTATCTCTACAGCCTTCACTGACAGGTGGGAACAACGAAAGGACTGGTTATTTTTGAGCCAACATTTACAGTCATAGAAAAATACAATTGCGTTATCTTATCCTCCGAAAAGATCAAGGATGGAGGGTACCACCCCACCTCAAAAAGATCTTCAATTCCATATTCTTATTCTTTCTTCACAGCAGTTGCATGCAAGGACAAGTCCATGCTGCCAAAAATCTTAAGAGAAGAAAGTGACTCTGAAAAGCCTTTCTCGGGCCATCATCAAGAATCCTTCAAAGCCAAGCCTCAGAATTTCTCTTGCTTCCTTTTTACTCCTTGAGGATTCCCATTCTGTGTAATTTTTTAGAGCTTCTTTTTGTGAGAATGTATACTATACTTGACAGTTATCTTTGTCCGAGGAGAAGTATGACGCAAGAGGCCAAAAAAGGAGTGTGAAAGTGTGTAAAAATTGCATCACAAAGTCATTCTTTTGTAGGGTTTAAGAAAAGATCATCAAGTCCCTACTTGATCATTTACCAAAAGAAAAGGCCAAGAATTAAAGACCCTACTTGATCATTTCACTTTACAGGCATTGATGAGGTGGTCATGAGGTGGCTCTACGCACCTCAACTAGGATTGTTCATCAGCAAAGAATCTTAATTATACCTTCTTTAACGTAATTTATTTTTTCTATTTTTGAGCAGTCATCTTTAGTGCGGATCGATGGTTTTTTTGTCTTGCTTACTTGGTACCCTTCCAGTTAGAGTAAGGTGGAGAGAAAAGTTTTTGGGAGTTAGGCGCCTTTTGAAACCTGAATTATGTAATCAGTTAAGAAAAGAAAAGAAAAAAAAAAGAGGAATTGTTCTTTCCATTTTCTGGGCAACCAAAGCCATTATTTTTTGCCCCTTAACATTTCAATTCTTTTTCTTCCTAATTCCAAATTGCAAGCAAGCAACACAATTGATAAAAGGTTGGAGGAAGTCCGCCATTTCTGCAGAATAGAGGAAAAAGGAATTGTTCCAAACCCAAAAATAAGATAATGGTCAGTGGATCTCCCTGCAAATACAAGCAAGTTGTTATGCGTCGCATGTGAAGGGCTATGTCAACATGCACGTTCTAGTGTTCTGCTACCAAAAAACGTTATCTTCTATTTTCTCTGCAGTTGGAATCTCTAATATCCATCTTTAACAATGTATTATTACTGGAGGGATTGCTGTGAAATGAAAATGTGAAGCATATTGACAACCACTCCAACTAAAATCATTAGCAATCCAGCCCCCATCCAAGCAATAGACTGATATATGGAAGCTATTCAGTCTTCAAATAATTTCGCATCAAAAGGTGGTAAAGATGAGATTATCCACAACGTACAAGCTTAAACAGCAATTGCAGTGGTGGAACCAGATTATATTGAGGGTAGGCAATTGCCTCCTTTAATTTTGTAAAATTTAAAGAATGGCCTTGAAACTATTGCGAACTTTTATGTTTTCCTAATTGTTCTGCCCCCTAAGTACCCTTTTCTCCTTAAAAATTAATTACTACATGAACAAGAAATAAAGTTAAAGCTTTTACAGCACAGAAAAACTCGTGATACAAACATATTCTCAAATCAAATTTCTCTTTCCATGATTATGACATAATTTTTGATGATGTATAATACTACTCCCATTGGTCATAGGTCCTACTTCCACCATTGAGTATATGAAAAAGTCCTAGTGATTATGAAAATTAGAGGAGATAAATAAACTTCATAGCAATGCTAAACTGCCTGAAAGAGCTATGCCAGATTCCTAAGCAAGTAGCAAAGGGCGCTCGATCGATTCCATCAAGGGAAGAAGAAAGAATAAAGAATTAAGAAGTGAGACATTAAAGGTTGAGATTCTTGGAGTTAGTGGTTCCGAATTCAAATCCTACTTCTCTCTTCCTGTTTCTTAATTCTCTTGCTAGAATTTTTTTTAAAGAGTGATATTATATTCCTTTTTAATTATTATTACTTTTTTTTTTTGGTTTTACGCTCCCATCCTTTTTCATACCCTTCCTACCCCCAACTGCCAGGCACAGGAAAGTATTGTTACTTCATTCATAAAGTGGTAGTCATATTCTAAATCATTTTTCTAAAATTTATAGCAAAAAGTATTCATCAATAACGGTCCTTTGACATTTTAAATCAGGTTAAAAAAGACAATAATGTTGCAACAGTTCTTTGCTGTGGAAATGAGCAAAACAGAACTTTAATGGAATTGTGTTGTTTGGTTTGTTTATGATGGCTTGTTGTTGGAAAACATCTCAAATGCCCCTGCTAACGCCCTATGGGAATGCATGCCACAGGGTGAATCAAGCTAAAGATAGAGTAGGCCCATATATGTTTCATTTAGCTATCCGTAGTCCACAAAGACCATCTGGGCTGGCCGAAATTTAATACAGTCTGGATAATGAATACTTGAAGG